GACGATGACGTCATCACATCGTCATCGTCATCAGTGATGATGATGATGACGATGCGGATGACGGTGACGTCATCAGTGACGATGACGTCATCGGGGGTCACGTGACCTCGGGGGAGGGTGGTCAAGTGACCTCGGGGTGGTCACGTGACCTCGGGGTGGTCACGTGACCTCGAGGGGGGTCACGTGACTTAGAGGGGGTCACGTGACCTCCGGGGGGGGGTCATGTGACTTTGGGTGTCACGTGACCCTGGGGGAGGGGTCACGTAACCTTTGGGGGTCACGTGACCTTGGGGTGACCTTGAGGTCACGTGACCTTGGGATGACCCTGGGGGTCACGTGACCGTGTGGTGACCTTGGGTGTCACGTGGCCTTGGGACGACCTTGGGGGTCACGCGACCTTGGGGTGACCTTGGTTACGCCGACGGCGACGCCGCTCAAGCCGGGAACGGGCCCCTAAGAGCTGCGCTCTAAAAGTAACAGAATGTTAAGTTGGGCTAGTTGGTTCTTCATGACTGGAAGGAAGCGCCGAAAGACGGGGACAAAAGAAGTAGGTAACGACGACACGAGGCTAAAAGTAACTCATACTTTTCGCTTCTTGAAAAGAAGAACACGATTTTGTTTCATTTGTGTGATGTGTCAGCAACCGCGTCGCAATTCCGACGATGTTATATTAGCCACATTACAAAGAGGGCATCATTATTAATCTTTTTAGAGCGCAGCTCTTAGGGGCCCGTTCCCAGCTTGAGCGGCGTCGGCGTCGCCGTCGCCGTCGGCGTAACCAAGGTCACCCCAAGGTCACGCGACCGCCCAAGGTCACCCCAAGGTCACGTGACCCCAGAGGTCACGTGACCCCTCCCTCAGGGTCACGTGACCCCCAATGTCACGTGACACCCGAAGTCACGTGACCCCCCGAAGTCACGTGACCACCCCCAGGGTCACGTGACCTCCTCGATGACGTCACCGGCATCCACATCGTCATCGTCATCATCACTGATGACGTCATGAGTGACGTCACTGATGACCTCACCGGCATCCGCATCGTCATCGTCATCACTGATGACGTCATCAGTTACGTCACTGATGACGTCACCGGCATCCGCATCGTCATCGTCATCATCACGGATTACGTCATCGGAGTCCGCATCGTCATCGTCACTGATGGCGTCATTAGTGACGTCACTGATGACCTCACCGGCATCCGCATCGTCATCGTCATCATCACTGATGACGTCATCAGTGACGTCACTAATGACGTCACCGGCATCCGCATCGTCATCGTCATCATCACGGATGACGTCATCAGTGACGTCACTGATGACATCATCGGCATCGACACGTGACCCCCCAAGGTCACGTGACCCCCCTCCCCACGTCACTTCACCCCCCAGTACCCTTCCGTCCTCCTCCTCAAGAGCTGCGCTCTAATTCGGTGTTACAGGGAGTGGTAAACGGCTTTCACTTTTTTCGATGCTTAACACTTTGCAGTGCGCGTCAAAATAATTTGTTAAAAGTTAGGGCTCTGCTGGAACGTGCATGCGAGCCCCCCCCCCCCCCCCTATTAGTTATATATGATTTGTGATATATGATTCACGTTACTGCATACTGAGGGCTACCATGGCGCGATGATTGTTTTATTGATTTTAAAGCACGTGTGCTTTAAAATCAATAAACGAACGCCATTAAACATAGGACAGCTCGCAATTTCGGCCATTCCTTTATATGGGATTCGGACTTCCGGTTAGGCAAAACATGAGGCAGGAACGACGTCCCCTTTTTTCTTCATTCTTGACAGTTCCTGTTTGACATCCGACAATATTTGTCGAATTTGAGCGGAGCCTTAGTATCTTAAGAAGTTTCCCTGTCCGTGAATTAAAGATTCACGGACAGGGAAAAGTGGAGCACCAGGTCGTCGTTGTTGCGCAGGTCGTTCCACTCTCGTTGGACAGCTTCCCAGAGTTCGTTTGGAGATGCACATTGAAGCTCTTGAGTGGCCAGTTTCGACTTTATGATGCCCCAGACGTTTTCGACGATATTGACGTCAGCGCCTTTGGGAAGCCATGGCAGCTCCCAGGGATGGGCAAAATACATGCAAATATGTATCGAAATACAAATACAAAATACTTCGTCAGAAATGTATTTAATTACAAATCTAATTACATTTCCAAAAAAGCATTTAAGTACAAGATACAAATACAACCCAATGTATTTGGTCTCATGCAAATACTTTTCCAAATACATTCCTCAAAATTTGCGTCAGCGACTTCAGGGCACCTGTAACAGGTTTCTGGGTATCTCATTTTAATTTTGCGTCGCACACTCGGGAGTTAGTGTGCGAGGCTCTAGTAACGTAATAGAAATATAATCACAAAAAAAATGTAATCCGCTTGGACGTAATAGGTGAAAAAAGTACAGAGCTTAAAGCAGCTTTTTTTGCCGATTACATTTTGGTATAGAAAAACGAAGAACCGAGACGACCAAGACGCGCAGCACTAGCTAGATAATATTTTATTTTCGCAACTCGCACCAGTTACGAAAATCTGGACGACCCGCACATTTAGAATGTTCCAGGCAAAAATATGGATGGAAATCAGGCTGGAAAACATCACAAGTTGTCACTGGCACCTTTTTAGCCATTCTGCCCGTGAACGCCGATTTCGTCACTATTCTTGACCTGGACTAGCACCGTAATCACAAAGTCACTAAACGCTTGTGCTTGATTGAGAGACACTGCATTCGGTACAGAACGTAATTTCCTTCCTGCTCTGGAGAGTGCCTTTAAAGTTAAGCCGGGGGAGAAAAAGTAAAAAGCCCCGTGGCCGAATAAAGGATGGAGACTATACCTTACAACCACATGCATAAAAACAAGATGTATTTTCGCCCACAAAATTGTATTTAATTACAATTGTATTTGAAACACCCACGTTTTAGTATCTAAATACACACGTCAAATACATTACCCAATTTGTAATTAAATACAAAGGCAAAATACACAAAGTATTTAAAATGCGTATTTCAAATACTTGTATTTGAAATACTGCCCATCCCTGGCAGCTCCCGTATGCCCCGTTTAGCAAGAAGCGTCTTGGTGGAAAGGGAGGTGTGGATGGGACTCAGGTCGTGTTAAAATCAAAAGTCCCCATCCGCAAAGGGCCCATCTAGGACGTAGGGGATCAAGACGTGGTCAATTATGTCCGAGTAAACTTCCGACGTCAGGCGCCCGTCGATCCTGAAGATGGGGCCAAGTCCTTGACGGGATATGGCACCCCAGACATTCACGCACCTACGACCACTGGCGGCAACTTCCTGGATAAAGTGAGGGTCGTATCTGCAAGGCAGTGCAAGCGTTGTTGTCTCTTTCAGTCACCGCTGAACTTGGTTATCATTACTTCAAGTAGTGCTAATATTTGTTTGTAGTTTTCAGACTTTAGCGGCGGGCGGGAAGCTTATAGCTGACCATTGCTGATTTCTCAGAAAGTCTTGGTCACTAATGACCTTGGACGTTGCAGCGGGAAAGATAAATCAATACAGTCTATTAGCTTAAAGGTCTGATAAAGCTTAAAGGAAGTTGTCAGGCCTCCAAACTCGCCTCTGCTGGTCTAACTGGGTGCAAAACGTAGACTCGTCACTGAAGATGACGTGGGTCCAGTCCTCCACAGTCAAATTCCCAAGACATGGGCGAAGTCAAGCCGCAGCTGCTTGTGCCTTTCCGTCAGCAGCGGCGACTGGCAAGCTACACGGCTGTGTAGGCCAGCATCGTAGAGGCGTCTCCGAACAGTAGTGTCGCTGATCTCGAGTTCCAGTGCGTCCCTGATATTTCTGGAAGCGCGGAAAGGGTCGCCCAAGGCTGCCTCGGGGATGTGACGGTCCTCTGTTGCATTAGCTGCGCGGGGACGGCGACGGTTGGGGGCATCGTTCAAGCGTCCATCGTCATCCCGAAAGGCTGCAATAATCCTTTGGACGGGTTTGACGGGCCTTCCAACTCTGCGCGATATTTCCCGCCGTGAAAGTCCTTCATGAGCACGGACAACAATCTGGACGCGCTTGTCCCTTGGAACTCGAGGCGGCATTTCTGCTGAAGCGCTCGAAAACGAACAGTGAACTAAAAAATAAAGGTTTAATAGGCGAACTTGTGCCAAACAGAATAAGTAAAGAAAGAGCTTGGAGGCAGCAGAAAAGCAGGCGGCGATTCGGCGGCGTAACAGAGATCGAGAGTGAGACTGACTCGACAAGGTCGCAGGCAGCTGCTTATCTAGAGTGCGTGACTATCTCGGAAGTTCGGCAAAGAAAGTTCGAGCGTCGCGCGCTCGGGGCGAGGATAATTTGGAACTTTCGAGAACAAAAAGGCAGGGGGAAAGTTGCGTCTGGTGCGAGAATGTACGCGAATCTTCTAGAAGCCCGTGACTGAGCGTTGCTTGCTCGGCCCTGTGGCGGCAGTGTTTATTGCTGACTCACAGCCCATTTCGCATTTGTTGCAGTTATTAGCGATCGGTCATGAATGAAGAAAGCCGTTGAACCACGTATAAACCATGCCAAACAACGTCCGCTCTAGTTCACGTGCAATGTGCAAATCATTTGCCGGCAATGACGTCGGCACGGCGACCACAAAAAGAGACGCCGAAATCAAAACCCACTTCCACGCTTTCAGCAGGGAGTAGCAGCAGAGCTGTGAACAGCGCTCGATCCAGGCACTTACTCTCGGTAGAGCGCGCGATAAGAAAGCAAGCCGCCACGGCAACCGCGTCATGGCGCTGACAGCACCGACCGGTCGACGGTCCGGCGTTCACCTTCATATAGCCTGCGGTTGTACACGACCTTACGCCGGTACGATGCTCATCCAGATCGAAACGGGCAGGGGTGGGGATTGAACCCAGGATCCCTGCAGGTTCTGCAGCCCGAGCTTTCGCTACTCTTTGAACTCTATTCAGTATGTTGAGCCAACTAGCCCACCTTAATACTTTAATCTCACTGTTCGAGCCGAACATGACATAAACAACGCTCACCTTGCTTCTGAGTTGCAGAATGGACGGCTGGACGCACTGGGCCGTGTTGGGGCTCGGGGACTTCCAGTAGCCTCTTGCATTGCAGCACCATCTCATGACACCTGCGACGTACCGTTCTTGATGTCTTTACCTTGCTGACAAGAGCTCAGCATGCACTACTACCATTTCCAATATATCGGAAAAGAGTAGGGGAGGGGGAGAGGGGGGGGGGGGGGGTTCAACAAAGATCTTCAGAACTTCCTAGAATAGCGCTTTTGGTAAATAAGTTAACTCCTCTCAGCAACCAACTGCCGACCACGGCCGAAGTGTGGGATTGCAAAAAAATATATTAGAGAGTTTTACTATTGCGTATAGCAGTAAACATAAACACGTACGTTTGTGGTATCTTTGCGTTCTTCAGCTTGTGCACGCTCGTCGTCGCCATGCGCAAACTTAAGACGTAGTGCGAAAGAAGCAACGCTAATACAAACGCACAGTGCTTGCGTTTGCTCGTGCACAAAATGCTCTACCTCACTATTACTTAGCTGTGGAATTAGCTAAGGTTTACTCGTTAATGTTTTAATTAGCGAAACTAAACGCAAGGTTCCTTTCAAACACTTGCTGAGAATTACAAGAAAGCAAAAAAGCTAAATCATTTCAATTTATGAAGGTATAAAACACATTGAGCATTCTATGGCGTCCCAAAAAACCGCTAAATTAGGACGCGTTTCTTATGGTGAATTCCGCTCGTAGATCTCGAGCACTCCAAAAGCGCTCGATTTAAGCGCGCATATTCCGCTCGCAGATCTGGCTCGAGTTGGTCATCTTCCGCTCGTAGACCTCGAGCAGCAACCCTCCGTGCAGCGCCTCTAAGCCTGCAGAACTAATCCGCAGGATTTCAGAGATTTCGGTGCAGGTTGACAGAGCGCGCCATGTCAATTCCTTTGACTCGGGTGCTGCCCATGCACCCGAGTCAAGGTGCCGGACGGGCCGCGCCGCCGAGTTGGATCTGTTCGGATGCGTCGGTTGTTTACGCGGGGTTGGGAGCGGCTCGAAAGCTTCTACCTCGCGTCGGTAAGGGATGCAAACCCAGGACTGGAACATGGTAAATCGTAAGCGCTGACATCTATAATCGTAAAAGGAAGAACGATAAAAAAGAAAAAAAAAAAAAAGAAACGACAGAAAATAGGAAAAAGGCAGGTGCAAGGTTATGCCTGTTCAGTTTGCCGCCATTGATTGTTTACCTTTTAACTCCATGCTGCCGGCGTTTTCTGGTGCAATAAATCAAGAACAGGTTAGACAACGGGTGCAAGTGATGGTTTGTTACCTCTTTGTGCTCATTAAAGTTGCACCAGCAATCTGAACTCCACCGATGGCAATCGCTGGGCATGCCCCGCCGCTTGGAGGCGGCCGAAAGGTATTTGACGGTGGCGAACGCAGGCCTTCGTTATTTGTCACATAGGATCCGTCGTACGGACATTTTCGCCCGGCCTTTGTCGCGTGTTATTTCCGCAGCTAAGCAGTGACAGTTGTCACTGGTCGTCGGAAAGATCAGTCGGTTGAGCCGTTCGTCGACTTGTCAAGTTCGAGCAGCGGCCATTGTGACCGGCCGACCGGGTCGGTGGGTCGCCCAAAAAACGCGAGTCCATCTTCCGCTCGTCGATTCGGAGCGGGACCCACGGAGCGAAATTTTGCCTCCCTCGCGGATTTTGGAAGGCGCTCCGGATCTACCTGTGGAATTCACCATAAGGAACGGTCTCCTATCGGAGCGCATTTTTCAGCCAGCGGCCCTGCCACCATGTGCCCGAAACAAGCAGCTCTTCCGCTCGCCTCTCTCGTAGGACGAACGGAAGTTTATCGAAGGTATTTCGCGCGCTTTGACTGCCTCGGCTACGGATTGGGAGGGGGGTCAGAGAACAGACGACAGGGCACGCTCCAACAGGTGACGGAAACCCAAAAATTTTCTAACTGATGGTTTTTTTAACGCCGAATTATGTTGTACGTACTTTATACATTTCTAAAATGAGTTGACTTAATAGTTTTTTTTATTATGTTTCAACCAGCTTATATTTAAAATCATATATGTTTGACCTCATTAAAATTGCATTTAGTAAGTTTTCGTTATATAGTTATATACACGAACTCATCTCTGTTACGTCACGGCGCAGTGGTGGCGCGCCGGGCGCACTTCAGGTCTGGGGCTGTGGGCGGATGTCCCCATGTGAGACATGTATTCCTGTGTTGTTTTGAAAGGAACCTGACAAAAACCTACCTTTTCGTCAAAACGCCGCGACTGGGAATGTACCAAAAAAAGTGGAGTAAGGTTTGAAGATCAGTTTTGATGTGCTGGGTTCGTCCGACAATGTGGATATGTGCCATGAAAAGAAAATTTTAAACCAGACGCCGTCGGACCACGATTGCTTGGGCGGGAAGCACTTTGGGTTGAATACACGAATACTGGTGGTCATTGGATTTATTTGTTTTGTTCCAACATGAACGCCGGAAAATCGTCAAGTTGTACAGGCAACCTGCGGACTACGTTCAGTGCGTCTTCAAGTTCAAACGGCCGCCTGATCGTTCGAACTGTCACCTGCTCTTTCAGACGTTTCTGCTTGTCGTCTGCTCTTAAGACGACACCGGCCCGTAGACCAAATGTTGGCCCGGCACTTGCGATGAGAAGTAGGTGGAGGCTTCAAAGGACTTAAGATTGAAGGTAGATAAGCAGGCTCGATGTAAACAGTAGATACAAGGAGATGTTGATCATTGTTACCAGTGGCCATCACGGACTTGTTATGCCTGATTCACTTGGTCCGATTCTGCTTGCGATTTTCAGTATTGACGCCAACCATCTCAGCTACGGTTCACGCTTTTGCAGCCCGAGCGACGTCGCGACTGAAAATTGTGAACTTAATATCATTATGCGAATCAGGCTTTAGCTTACATTCTGCGGCGTCCACGCGGAATGAATCGCCGCGTTTTCACATATTTTACGCAAAGTTTTGTGGTGTAACCCGTCTCAGTAATTTTGCTGAGGCCGCTGAAGTAGTCAAGCATTGCCAGGAAGACGTAGAATCAACAATTCGAAGGCGAAAAAGGGCCGGGGGACTCACATCAACGCTGACAACATCACATGTCAATGGTTTATTTATGGGCGACGGTGAGCTTCTGGCCCACACCCCCGTCGCTCATGCGCGGCGCCGGTCGCGTCCGCTGGGGGCGCTCCGGTTTGTTTCGAAACATGAGTTGGTGTATATGCTATCTAATGACGACCGTGCTGGCATTTTTGTTCCCGTATAACTTTTTATTTTTTTGCATTTATCTACTTTACTTTAAGGAATATGTGAAAGTCTTCACTTCAACAACCAGCATAGCTGAGCGCTTTAAGGGTTGTCCAATCCAACCCGAATCCGGTCATGCGGAAACGTCCGGAATCCGGAGCTAAGACACCGGTGACGTCATCAGTGACTTTTTTAGTCTTTCGGGAGTGTAGAGTTGGTCCCATTTTTGCGCGCCGCCAAGATGATGTTTTGATTTAAGAATTTGTTTATGCGTTCCGGTACGTGTTGAACCTATATTATTTCCACCAACAGCGAGGTTGAGGCTTTCTCACGGCGGGTCATTCCCCCACAAGTCTTTTCCCTAACCCAAGGGCCGTTGCATGCAGACGCACAGACCTACACAGCCAGCATAACTTCTAAGTGCACTCGTCAACGGACAAACCGTTTCGTAAACTGGACGAAGTACCGTGGACGCGAGTCTCGGGCGCAGGCCACAAAGGCGGAGGCCTCGGATCATATTCCAGTGTCTGTGGAGGCTGGCTGCGAGGGTCCCGAGCGCAACAGAGGTTTACGCACAGACGACAATCATCATGATAAGTTGATTAATGAACTGAGAATTGTTTATAAACTTTTAATTGATGGTTTTGCGGAAATACTGGAATTGCAGTATTCTACGCAATTATTATTCGAGGCCAGAACAATTTAAAAACAGCTATTGCGAGAAGGTATTAGGTTTTTGAGATATCATTGGACCAATTTTCGCTATTTTTCGCCGGATTTAAAGCTTGCACGTAAAAAGAGCGCTGCATGCCTAATTGAACCTAGGGTGCCTAAATACCAGCATCGGGGCCAGGGTAGGGAGAGCAGCCTAGTGGGTGAAAGTTTCAGCCGCTCTTGTTGGTGCTATCTTTAGTGAATGTAGTCCAAATTGCGCTAAAACAACTATTCCGCCCACAAATTATATCCACACACTCCAATACAACTAGTACCCGATGTGGCCGTTCCATGTCAGATTGGCCCAATTACGAGGGTCAATGGGTGTCTCTACTTTGGAAGTGGCGCTACCATTAAGGCACCCTAGCTTTAAGTTTAGTACATTGAAGCTTGGAAGTGCGACGTATTCCTTTCAGTCACGTTGACGCTTCTTTCCTCGGTGCACCCACCAAGGACAAGCGCCGAGATAGGGACGAAATGAGTGACACGACGACAAAACTCTTCCAAAGCCTCATTGCGGACGACGCTCTTTCGAGCCCACTGTCTAAATCGGGCGAAAAAAACGCGAAATGTGATAGAGTAATTAATCATAAACCATTAACTTTTCGAAAATTCATTAAATTGGTCTGGCTTTTAATAGTACTCACCATCAATACTGTAAATCTAACATGACCCCTACAAGGAACATGTATGTTAATTAACAAAATTTAGTTAATTAGTCACCTTGCCGTGACAATTATCCGCTCATTTAATGTCAACCGAGCCTGATAAATGCTTGGTGACGACATATCTAGTCTAATTCTCAACCCCGGATAAGAAAACAAAATTCCAATTAAAAGCAAACACGCTATATTTTTCTTATTTGGTGTAAGTAAGCAATTCTAATGAAAAACAATACACATCTTTATTTTGTTATCCGGCAATGTTCGTTGTCTTGCACCTTCGCGTGCACATATTTCGGTATACTCTATCCTCACAACGCGACTTTGCCAGGGACCCCGGAACCAAGGGGGCAACGGGGGCTTGAGCACCCGCTGACATTTTCCAAGGAGTGCTGGACAGTATGCTGAGCCCCTGTGCATTTGGCTCAAGGCCTACTGAACAATGCCTGCACCCCTCCCCCCTCCCCT